CCCCCCCCAAGATAAAAAAAAAAAACAATATTACAGATGAGATGAGCGCCCTGCCATGGCAGGCAAGTTATGTAGGGAAACACTGTAGTGGATCAATCAGTTTGCTGGTGACGGCCAAAACTAGCTGTTCACATGATAAAAGTGGACCATCAGCCTACTGATCGATTGTTAGTGCTCTGATGCCCGCGCTTGCTATTCAGAGGGCTGAGTGATACTAGCAATAACAGCATGGCAAGAAGGTGACAATTGGACATGGAGGCCTCCGCCCCTTTTTAATGATGGTTTCTCCACAAAGATGGCTTCCTTCACGCCTTTCTCAAACAAATGTTCCTTTCTATCAAGGATGTGAACATCTTCATCCCAGGGCTGTGAATAGGCTTGCTATTCACAGCCCTCTGTGAATAGCAAGCAGTCATCAGGGCATTAACGATCGGTGTTAGATTGATGATCCTCCATTATCATGTGAACAATTAGTTTTGGCTGTCACCAGCAAACTGGTTGATCCACTATGAGAAAGTGTTGATTATAAGACTGAGTTTATTGCAGCTCCTCAGATTGAAGAAGTCTTTTGGATAAAAGATGAAACGTTTAAACAGATTCTTTTTTTTTTTTAATCCATTCAGAGGACCTGACTTAACTTCGTTAGACAGCAGGAGGATAGTTATTAAGGTTATTGTGACTTTTCCACAGAAGAGCTAAATTTTCTATTTAATGCTTATCACATATCGGGAATATAAAAAAATGTGACTCAAAATTGTAACAGAGAATAATGTTGGTGAGAAACTTGCACCGGCATGCTCATGACCACGTCCTTTTCTGTTTCATGAGAAGTTTGATTTCGTTTTGTTTCTCTTCAACTTTAGTTTTGTGGACCCAGAATCCAAAATGCATTTTACATTATTACTTATTAAATCATGGTTTAATGCTTCTACTGTTTGATAAATGTTTTCTTGCTCATTTTCATGCCCTGTGTGTGTTTATTTTGTAATCTTTGTCTGGCTCTTAGGGTCAGTTAGAAGTCATCTTGGAGGACAGAGACAGAGCAAACGACTGTTTTTATCTCTTCGAGCTGGACTCCAGCGCAGTCTGTCCTGCTGTTCAGTCCCATCTCAGTGCTGGCTCCATAATACTCATCATGTATGTAAAGATGTAATTGTACAAGAGCTCTTAAAGTTAGACCACATGTTGCTGTTTAAAATAAAATAACTGATGTTAAGCTCTTTTCTTTCAGAATCTTCTGTCTCGTGGCCGTTTATCTCATTGGAGGTTTCCTCTTCCAGCGGCTGATCGTCGGAGCCAAAGGGATGGAGCAATTCCCAAATTATGCTTTTTGGGTAGAAGTTGGGAACCTAACGGCGGTAAATTTAAACTACCGTATTTTTCGCTGTACACGTCGCTCCGCCCTATAAGTCACATCAGTCCATATTTGTCTAATAAAGTGGAAAAATCCATAAATATGTCACTTCACCGTATAAGTCGCATCTATTATGCGTCACTGCTGACACGTCGCATTTGTTATGCGTCACCGCTGACAACCCAGAAATGTGGGCCGGTGTTGTGCCAAAAATTGATGGACTGCCAAATAGTGGCCGCGGGAGTGTGCACGGGAGGACTTTAACAAGAATTTAACAAGATTAACACTTAAAAACCATTGTTTGTCTGCTCAAAATTATAGCAACGGTATGTCTCAGTCTATCGTTTCCTTAATAAATGTACTTTAATGGTCAAATCAGCTGAATTTCTAAAATAGTTTTGCTGCCTCTGTGCTCCCGGGAGGACAAAAGGAAGAGGAACGCAGCTCATTTCTTCGAAATTTCACAAGAAAAGCACCTAAATATTTATTTGTTTGCTCGAAATTATAGCAAAGGTGTGTCTCAGTTTAACGTTTGTTTAATTTTAATGGTTAAATTAGCTGCATTTCGCCAGGGCGGCGCTCCTGGTTTGATGATCGGTCCAAGCAGCGAACAGAACCAAGGTGGGGAGTGTTGGGCAAGCTGATTATATCATTAAAAGCTGGTAAAGATTCTCAGTCATCCAGGGCATGGTAAATTCAAAGAAGTTCAAGAAAAAAACAATAAAGTATAAAGTAAAGTATAATGAATAAAGCCCAGTCGATTTTGTCTTGGAACTTTTTTGAATTTGTCATTATAGCCACGTAACACAACAGCATGCCATACAGCTAGTACTACTCTGCTGCCATCAAGTGGCTGAAAGTGGTACTGCTTTAAAAAAAAATCCAATCAACCTTTATTTATACAGGTAAATCCCATTGAGCCTCGAGGACTCATTTACAAGAGAGACCTGATAAAAATAAAATCAGTCAAAATGAATGAAAACGGTCATATCTCAGCCAAAAATTGGTTTATAAATATGGAAAAAAACCTCCATAAATATGTCCCTTTGGCCTATAAGTCGCAGGGCATGTAAATTATGCAAAAAAAAGTGTGACTTATAAGGCGGAAAATACGGTAATCGAAGATAACTCAAGTCGAGAATCATCCCTTTTTCTTTAAATCCTGATAAAGTGTATTCCTTTTTTACAGGATGGCTGTGACTTTGTGTGCCGGTCAAAAAATCGAGAGGACTCTCCAGCTTACAGAGGAGTGTCCACAGAACCTGCAGAGGAGGAGCCAGAGGAGAGAGACGACCACTTACTACCTATGTGACCTCAGTGTGTCAGGAACTAGACAAAACGTTTCGCCGCGAGATACAGATTACCGGTACTCTTTTTAAAGCTTTGACGAAGTTACTGGTGCACACGTCTGTTTTTCTTCACCGGGTTTGAGTCACTTCCTGCTTGTGTTCTGTACTCTTCTTCCTCTAGAACACGGCTATTCAACTGGCGGCCCAGTGGCCAAATCAGGCCCACAGATGAGCTCAGTTCGGCCCGCCAGTGGGTTCAGTTTTAAATAAAACTACATTTAAACCATAAAACAAACTTATTTAATGACAATAACTGCTGGGTGTCCGGCCCCTGAGCTCTTGGCTTTCAGTAACTGTGACCCCCTGAGCAGTTTAGTTGAATAGCCCAGATATAGAAGGACATTACAGAGCAGAATGATTTGTCTTTCTTCTTACCCAAAATATTGCATTCGCTTGTTTAACTTCAAAACAAATGAGTGATGTAGTAAAATCAGTGATTTCCTGTTCATCTTTCTGCTTCTAAGGATGGTTGATTTTGTGTTTCACAGTGTTGCTTGCTGCATGTTACTCAACACAGGCGTGTTTTTGCTCTCGTACATCAGCGTTAATCTCTTTGTTTTGTTCAGATAGATCTACGAATGTAAAAAGATCCATTCGAAGTACAGCCTTGTTGCACAAGTAGAGAGCTGCAAAAACCAAAGCTTAAGTGATTTTTCCCCCCGTTTATTATTTCTTCCAAATGTTTCTTTGTCCTGGTTAATGGTTACAGAACACATCTATCTTACAGGCACAATTAAAAGTTATCTCTAATTTAAAACAGCTCTTTTCTTTTAACAATGATGATGAAAAACATTCATAAATGTATTTTCTTTTCACAAATCATTCATTAAAACATGGTATACTGTATACATTTGTATTTTGATACAAGAAATGAGCATGAACTGTGATACAGCAGTGTTCCTCCTCCTCTCACTGTAAAAATGAACAGAAGAGTGAATAAATGCTGCTCTGACCCAAACGCACATCAACTCCATCTCCTGTAGAGAAAACTGGACCACGATTTCCAGCTGCTGTACTCGGCAGCCACGGCACTTTCTGGACTTCTTCTGTTATTATAACATAGTTGTAAAAGCTCAGTTTTGAAGAAATTATTCTTTTTGCTTAAATTTAAGTGTAAGTTTATGAAATGACCAAACTGGGGGTTTGAATTTGATGGATAAAATTCCTGTTTAGGGTTTTCTAGAATGATTAAGAGCTTTTGTTTTTATTTTTGTATCACTTTTGTTTACTAGATTAGATTTTATTAAATTATCATCTGAATTATGTGGTGGAAATGCTTTTGCTTTAAGTAATTAGACATGTATCCAAGTTAGTTTAGTGTGATAAAGTGCAAAAGTCTTGAGCTATCTACTGGTAATTTTTTTAATATTCTAAGATTTTCCCCCAAAAAAATTTAAGTGGTCACTGCTGCTCTTTGGACTTATTTATTTTTTTAGTTGGTTAATGGAGACTAGCTTCTCCTTTTTTATTCTTCTTTTTACTAATTGTCTTGCCTGTTACTATTCTTTGCTGATTTTTATTTTTAAAAACCACTTTACTAACCTTTGAACTGTTGCTTCATAAATAAGCATCTAAAATTGATGGATAAATTACGTGTACGCGTACCCGTTAACTTAAGAGTCTGTTTTAAAATGAATTTCTTGGAAGAGTACCGTTCTGTTGCAAAGGCACATTTTTCTTTCTATGTATCAAGTTTCATATAAAAAAATGCACAATAAAATGCTTTGACAGTTAAAAATGGTGACCAACAGAGTAATTCCCAAAGTGCTACAGACAGCTGGATTTTCAAGTGTCCATCAGGTAATTTCTTTCTTGTTTTCTTGAACATTTCTTTTGTCCTGACATGTTTTCCGTCCATTTTCTCGAGTTTTGTCAAGAACACAACACAAAATGCTGAGATACAATTCGGTCAAAAATAAAATGTAAAGAAATTAAATCAGGGCTTTGAACAAAAATGTATATTTGGCTTAAAGCTGTTTGCAATTCATGGATTTTACTGTTTGTTTTTTAATTCTAATAAGCCATAAAACTCATTGTGTGGCTGATTTAGGTGCTATCTCTACAACATGCATCCAGCTGCACTCCTGCAGATTGGACTGTATTTTTTATTTGTTGATTTTGTCAGAACTCTATAATAAGTCCCATCGCTCAATCAAATTAAAAAACAAACAGTAAAATCCATGAATTGCAAACAGCTTTA